AAGTTGCCGAAACGATTTCACAAAGTTTTCATGTTTTTTGCACAGATTTCGTTTCAAATGCTCAAATTCTTGCATTCGCTGATCCAATCAACTTAACATAATCAAAAAGTGCTCAAAGAAAAGCAAGCAGACTGAATGGGGAATGTTCAAACCTCGTTGAAAACTTGATCGATGCATGTGAAATGCGTAAAGCAACTCGTAGAAAAAGCCATCCTTCTTAACATTTGATGCTCTCGCATATTCGCGCAAGATTTCGACCGCCTTGAAACGTTGAAAAACGATTAAGGACCAGTGTAATTGTTGCATCATGATTCCCTTCCAGGTAGGACATGTATAATGGCACGAAGCTGCCTATATAAGGCCGCTGTTTTTGTGTTAAAGGGTGGTGAATTGTGCTAGTGACCCCGACGACCACGGACCCTCCTAGCCCCGAAACATCACCAAGGAATCGACGACCCAGCCAACGATCCGAGGAGGCGCCGGAGCACTGGGCCAGTGGACATGACTCTGAAGAGTCCAGCCAAACAATAGCACAATTATTACAATAGAATTTTAAAAAAATGAAATAATACGCTAACCTCTCTTTCCATAGTGAAATAAAACATTTCAACAATAGTATTTGTTAGCTTTTGCTCCACCAGTTTTGCCATCATCTCTCTCAAGCATGTTCGAGCATTATCTTTGTATGGATTGTTCAGGATACTTTTCATTGCTTCTTCGTATTGCTCAGTGCGAAGTTCCGATTTGAATAAATTCACGTGTAATTTTGGCTAAAAAATCATACAAAAGTTATAAATTAGGGTAATAGAATTGAAAGCTGATATTGTTTTCACAGTTGCTACCAAAAATACCTGACCATTAGTCAGTCTGACATTGGTTCGAACCATTCAAGCTTAGTTCGATTACATGTGGCACACTACTTTTGACATGTTTGGAGTTGCAGGGGTTTTTACCCAGTTATGCTTCAATACAAATGCCTTTCCTTGCATTACCCTCCAAACGAAGTGCTCCGAGCCAGATGCGGCGTGAAGGACATTATCGAAGCAATGTATGCCAGCAAGAAGAGATGGGCTGGTCATGTGGCACGGACGACAGATAACAGATGGACGAAGCTATTACTACTACATATACATAATCAACAATACTATAAATGTTGATCAAACTGCAGCAATACAGAATAATATACGGTAAAAACAGCGTAATAATAACAAAGCAGTATAAAAGTTACCAAAAAACGTTCGACTCCCGTTCTATCTCGTTCTGCTTCTCGCAAAGCTATTCGTGACAGCCGAACTAACAGGTCAGGGAAACCATGCCTTTCCACTATCGTCATCACCTAAAAACTTTTCATCCGCGTACTAGCACTTCTCACAACATAAAGGAAAAGCATTCTTCAAACTTTAAAAGGTATTTGTTTCTACGAAAGTTCACCTCAAAGCAGGTACCAATGACTTCCTTTTTTCAAATCATGCAATATTATTTATTTAAATAGAAGCAATTTTCTCATATCCTACCCAAATCTCGACGTATAAATCTTGTTCTGATTAATAAAGGTGCTAATTAGTAATTGTCACAAAGATTGTTTGGGAAAGTGGGTACCTATGTTAGTAATACACCAAACACAAACTAAACCTTCATCAAAATTATCTTTGTTATCACAACCGTCATACTAACGAGGTCCGGTTGTGGTAACGGTAAGAAATGTATACGACTTCATGGACCGAAACATTTCTTGCCCTTTACAATTATTTCTATACTCCCAAATCCCTTTTCCACTTCTTTCTTTCAACGTTTTTCTTCCCTTTTTCATTTTTCTACTTCGTCACTTTCTTTTTACCCTTTTAATATTACCGACATGGCCCAGTTATTCCCAGCGTGCGGAAGCATTCACTAACATGAGATACCTACCCAAACTGCCTGGCGATTTGTTTTTTGTTTTTTAATGTTTTTTTGTTTTTTTTTTGTTTTTTGGTATCATCATTTCTCCTTTTATGACCACAACCGTGAGAGAACTAAACAGCTGATAAATAAGGGGGAAATTTGTGCTACCTTAAGAATATACTTGACCACGGTGAACGGACGAGACGGATCAACACCACGCGTATTGAGTGTCCTGTTTAGAGCCTGATCTTCTCTTCTCACACCTTCAACAGCATCCAAAAATGATTGCATCGCCTGAAAAAAAGAAAAAACATCATAGGAAATTCATAAGTAGCAGGAAGAAAGAATTACTTCATGCCGGAACAGCGAATACCTTAGCACTGAAAAGAAGAAAAACACAGGAGTTCAATGGTGAAAAGACAGCGAAATTTGAAAATTCATAGCAAATTTCCAAATAGTTACTTTTTCCGGCTCCTTTAAACCAATAAGTGCGATGCCTTCAAAAAATCGAAATGCACTGCACAGTTCTTTTAAATACGGTTCGTTCAAGTGACAGTAGGCCTAAAACACATATAAAGCATCTCTAAAAACGCTTCAATAATTCATGTTTTTTAAGTATATTCACCGTCAAAAGCTTGCTTCTGAACAGCCCTCAAAGTGGAGGGAAAACCCGCAAAAAGCCGACCAAGAAGCCGCCACAAAAAAAAAGGTGTTTTGCCTTGAAAGACAGATACACAGTAGAAGTGCTGCCAGGCTGAACCTGAAGCGAGAGGACCAGTGGTGCAGTGGTAACACGTCGCGCTCGGATGTGAAGAGGAGTGGTTCGATCCCCTACCGGTCCAGAAAAATTTTTGAGAAAGGTCTCCGTTCATGACATGAAACAGTGAGTAGTTACTCTTTGCTTGAAAGATGCTACCCCGAATTGTGCACAAGGACTGATGTCCCAAATCTAGCGGAGCCAAATATAACAACAGCTAAAATAATTATTAGTCTGCTACAATGCTGCAGGGGCGTGCAACAGTGAAGCAACAACTTATCACAGAATTGAACGAACCAACAGTGCTTTGTACTGATCGTTGTCGGCAAGAAAACGGGCTAAAACCATTGCCGTACTCTCGGGCCAAAGGACAATCATTGAATCTCGGACAATCCTGTCGACGAAACACGTAAAGTATGCAGCGGGTGGTGGCGGATCTTGCAGAATATCCCCCTCATCTTTGCCTGCCTTCCTTTCTTCCTCGTGTTCTTCGTCTTCCCTGTTCCTCTCCCCTACTTCAGCCCCCATCTCTATGGGTTCGTCCACCTCCTCCTCGCCCTCTTCCATCTCTTCCTCATTCTCGTCCGTTTCAGACTGCCAATCTTCACTGTCTTCCTCCTCTCCAACAAGTTCTTCATCTTCAAAATCATTTTGCTCATCATAATCATCGAAATCATGGAGTTCGAATCCCTAAAACACATGAGAGAAATACTGTTAATACAAATGATAAAAAGTAACATTTCTCGGAACCGGCAGTGGTTTTTTTT